GTTAGCTTCTTACCAGGGCACAGGTGATAGATATGAACTGTGGTTGAAGGGGAAATGCGGAAGGGGTAGAAGAACCTGAAATTTAATCCCCACTCCTCCCTGCCAGCTTTGAGGTCACTACCATGGGCAGTTAGGATGCAAACCTAGAGAGCAAAAGGAGTGATGGCGATACTTGACGACTTAGGAGAATGAGGCAGGGAGATTACAAATTTTAGGCTAGCCTGGGCAACTTTAGTGAGAGCCTGTCTCAAAACACATGCATACATATATAAATAGATAAGTAAGCACATAGTTGAGAGCATAGCTCAGTCTTGGAAAATTTGCCTAGAATCTGCAGGGGCCTAGGTTTAGTCTGCAATTCTTTGAACAATAACCAAAAACAAACTGAAAATCTCAACCAAACAAGCCAGACACACGCATGCTCACATACACTGGCACGCACTTTAATAAAGTATATTTCTAACTTACTTCAATTGCTAGCTTCAGAGTCAGTGAACAAAAAAGCAGGAGACATTGATAACCAGTCCTCATTGACATAGGTGGTAGGCCTTGCCACTTCTAGATAAAGACAAGGGACATAAAAGAGGACCCAAATCAACAGGAATTTATGTGAAGTTGCCTGTGATTTGTGGCCTCTCCAGGGTTCCCTGGAGGACAGTGTGCTTGGCATTCTTTGTCCCTTGCCCAGGCCCCTCCATCTGCTTCTTCCAAGTGTGGACCATGCTTTTAGAACTAGGACTGCCAGCATTGTGTGACAATTTTCCTCTCATCTTGAGGCTGAGAAGGAAGAGATGTCAGAGGAAATCCCCTAACTTGGGTGGTTACAAGAGGACAGAGCAGGGTTATGAAGTTGATTCAGGAGATGGGAGCAAGATGGGAGCTGGGCTGTGTGTGGGGGGGTGCTATGCTCCTTCATGCCCTGCCTTGGAACCTCCTTCTAACAGGGACCCCTCTGTTGTTGTGGCTCCAAGCTCCACTGGAGCAGCATACTTTCCCAGTGATGCCACTGGATTCCTGATGTGTGACACCGCAGGGCAGCATGGTGAAGGATGCCGTTGACTGCCTTGGGGCCCCAGACAGGCCTACCATTGTGAGTCACATTTAACATGTGAGCTCCCCTTTCCCATGGCTGGCACTATTCTTAGTACCAGTTTCTGCTCTGGGGGAGGGGGCAGAGGTTCCCTGGGACTATACTCATTTTGGGTAAATGGATGGGGCCAGGATCAGGGAGCAGAAGGTGAAGGGAGAATTGAGGATGCTTTGAAATTTTGGAGCATGTTGGAGCAAGGGCAAACGAAGGAGGCTGGAGCCTGAGGGTGTGAACAGGTCTCTGCTAAGCAGTCGAGAAATGACCTCAGGAGACCTGTAACAGGGACTGCAAGTCTCCTTCATGAGTCTGGGGTGTGGACTTGAATGTGACTGGCAGATATATGCAAAAGGCAGTAAGCATTGCAGTCCCAGAGCTGGCTTCTCGCTTGTGCTCCCATGTGAACCCAGATTTCCCTCCAGAAGTGAAGTGAGTGAGGCTGATGTGTTGCTGCAGGAACAAGGTCCTTGTGCTACCATTGAGGAATGAGGTCACCTGGAAGCCACATTTCTGTACCCTTCCTCATTCTGTGGCTCTCTCCAACAAAAGGGAAATCTGTAGAAGTCAGTGAAAAGACACCTGTGGGGAAGTTTAATTTTAGGAGGAACCATGGAATTGTCTCATTGGGGACAACAGCATAGGTTCTTATCCCCCTCCTTTTGGTGGGTAGAAGAGGAGTCTTGCTATGTAGATGGGCTGGCCTTGAACTCTCACTTCTGATTCTGCTTCCTGAGTGCTGGGATCATTCACAGATATATGCTAGCACACCTAAATGCCAGTGGGCTGTCAGGGGGTTGCCTCAGCTCACCTGTGTTTTCTTCAAGAATCCCAGGATTGAGGCTTGAGCTGCTATCACTGCTCTCTCAATTGTGTTAATCGAGCCAGAGACATTTCTTCACATTCAAGCCCCTCTCCTTAGGCACCTGCTGTCCCTGTTTCCATCACTTCTCCTTTTTGGTAGCTGTAGAATAAAAGACCTCAAGTGTAGGTGATCCTAGGACTTGGTTGTCAACGCCCAGAGTTAACATTTTTATGTTCCCTCTGAACATAGGAAAACTCACAGCGAAGAAAAGAAAAAAATCATCTCAGTCAAGGATTTACCTGTCCCAGCCATATTCAGACATCAGTGGGCAGATGCACATGAGTTGTAGTAGGGAGCTCTTTGGCATTGAAATTTAGGTGACACTGTAGGAAATTTAGCTGACACTATCCCCTACGGTGGTGGTACTGATTATGTGATTTGAGGACCCCTTTTCTATCCCAGCCTCCAGGGGGCAGGGACTGTGCTGTACTCCCTCTCTAGGACCTGCACACATGCTTGCTACACTGTGTCAATGACTAGGACCTGCCCGGGTCCTCCCATCTTTCCATCCCTTTCCTCAGCTTGATATTCAGCTTCTCTCTGATGGACACTTTTAAGACAGTGTGAGAGAGGTTCAGATACTGTAAAACTTAGCCAGTGCAGGGGGCCTAAATGGGTCAGCAGTGTCACTTATTGGGTGAGGACTCAAGTTAGTAGGTGGTGTGTCTTGTTTCTCAAGAGTCCTGTGACTACTGTGAGAGGCAAGGAATGTGATTCCTGACAGCCAGATCCATTTAGCACGTGGTTCATTGCAACCAGGCAGTCAGGTTAGTTAGGGTCATGGCTTTTGGTTTGGACAGTGTAGTGAAGGATCTTGACTTAGGTATTCTGCTTATCCTCTGAATGAATGGCCTTACCCAACTTAGGTTTACCATCCTGTGCATTATGTTTTCTTCCTGCTGAAAAGTGGTAGAAACCAACAGACTAACAATAGCGTCTATCCCATAGAACCACTGAGAATTCAAAAGCAGAAGGTAAAACATAAATGTGTCTAGGGAAGGCCACAGTGAACTGTGGCTCTCCTTGGTGTTTTGTTAGGGGTTTTCTCATATCCGAGGTCTGTAGTGTTGATACAAAGTAATTAAAGAATTCTGATGTCAGCTTTTCTATATTCATTTTTCTGGGATACAACTGATTGTATAAGATTACTGAGTATCACCAGGAAACTAATTGACTTCAGGGTTATTATAGGCCATTTCCCAAGAGCAGTTTACTTTCTTAGCTCCTAGGTCACTGACAAGGACTTCTCAGGGGTCTCTCATTTGCCATGTTTAGCTTCCAAGGGCTGATGACTTAACTTGACTCCCAGGAAATCTGAGTTGTGTACTAAGTGGTTTCTAAAACAGGTAGATAGGGCATGAGAACGCTTTACAGCACTCTGGGTTCTTTTCTTCAGATTTGAAGGCATTTGATGAATGCTTTCATTCTTAGCTATGGATCTTGCAAGATGGCTTCACAGAGCCAAAGTTAAGTTCTCAGTGTTATGAGGAAACACTGCTTCGTTTACCACATGTAGCTTGTGTGTGCTATGGAGAGACTGAGCTCCTTGGCTACATATGGTGGTGTCTGACCCCACATACTTTCTCCTGCAGTGTTGAGAAAGACTGCCCTGTTATTTTGAGTCTGACTTGTCCTAGTACCAGTAGCTCAGAAGCAATAGGGCTGCCAGAGTGCCACTGTCAGCCAATGTGGGACAACTGTCTATGAGCATACCTTAAGGAGTATAAGACAGAGTAAGACGTAAGCCTCACAGGGCAGAAAGGACAATTCCTTTTTTGAGAGAGACAGTTCTAAAGTCTGTTTCCTGTTGATTCTGAGTTTACTTTGGAGAAGACACATAAAATGTTTAAGTTTAGGTACTATAATAGTAATGTTACAAGGTGTAGTATAGACATTTAACAAGAGGTACTGACAGGTAAACCTATCCATCTAGTTATATTCATAAATTGGATAAGATAAGATTGATTTCTTGTCATTTCATCATTTCATAATAGATAACTTAAAAGGAAAATATGTAGACTAAATCCTTTAGAATAAGAGATTTTTTTTTTTTTACTATTAGGGTACACTAGGCCTTCTACAGTTAACTACAGTTAAGCTCTTGTATAGGTAGTTAGGAGGAAAGATATAGTCTCTCTCTCTCTCTCTCTCTCTCTCTCTCACACACACACACACACACGCACAGAGTGGGGGGGGTGGAAATGGACACAGCAAGAACTAACCCTGTGAAGACAATCAATACAGGACAGTCCTCATCTGACCTCTTCGGATCCCTTGGGTGGCAAGCTAATTCCTCACATAGTGGCGATGCATTCCTCGCTTAGACCAGGCCTGGAAGTGGCAGGGGTGGAGCCCTGGTGGAGAAAGTCAACATGCCAAGTGCCTGTTCCTTGTGAGAGGATACGGGCACAGAGACAGATCCATTTTCATCATAGGTCAGGGCTGGAAGCCCTGCTGTGGAAAATGCCTCTGAGCTTTGGTTGCTGCCTGGACCTGGCAAAGACTTCCCTTTCTTCTAAGGCAAATTTAATGGCTTAGTGTTTAAAGGCACATAAAATACTCCCCGACAGACATGGTGGCATGTACTTTTAATCAGAGCATTAACGAGGCAGAGGCAGGTGGATCTCTGGATTTGAGGCCAGACTGGTCTGCATAACAAGTTCTAGGTCAGCTAGGCCTACCTTATGAGTACCTCTCTCAAACCAAATAAACAGAGAATCAGCCAAGATTGAAGCTCCTTAGAACATCTTCGAACACAAACTCATTTTCTTTCCAGAGTTTGTGTAGCACTTAAAAGAGAGTGGCCCTGAAATTAATACAGAACAGGCCAGTGATATATTCTCTCATGTGACTCTCTCTGTTTCTTTTGGAAGAATGATCTTCACTTTCTCTGAGCTCAGAGTGCTTGCTCCAGTGTTTGTACTGAAGCTTGCTTCAGGTTTCTCCTGTCTACACGGGTGGGGAGGGATGTGGGGCTGCTGTGAGGTGGGACTAGCTGCTGTGAGCCTTGAGTATGTGTTGTTAATGATTCACTGTGCCTTGTGCTTGCAGGCAGTGGGCCGATCCAGCTGTGGCAGTTTCTTCTGGAGTTACTCACTGATAAGTCTTGCCAGTCTTTCATCAGCTGGACAGGAGATGGCTGGGAATTCAAGCTTTCCGACCCAGATGAGGTAAGAAATGAGCAAGCCCCAGGCTGAGGCTGGGCAAGTGAAAACCCTGGGATTGTGAGGACTCCCCCCCCCCCCAGGCCTGGATTACAAGCTCAGCTCTGCCACTTCTTGCTGATTGCATGGCCCCAATATGAATGATGCAGGCTGCCCAAGCTTCATCTCCATCATTAGGAGAACAGAAAGTGTGTAGATTGTCCATTTGCTTTCTGGGACAAACTGATACATGTATAAAGTCCTTGTACACAGTTGGCCCTTGTACATAGAGGCATCTCCTGTGTGACTCAGCCTCTTTGTAGTCACTGGCTCTGTAGATATGAGAGGCCTTGCAAGATGGATGTGCTTTATTCAAGTTTTCATCCTCTTGTCCCTGAGTGCTTGTTAAGTGCTTAATCTGTGCCTAATTCCCGAGCCAAAAATGAATGGATATGAGAGAGGAGATCTTTCTTCTGGAAGACATGACAAAGTGTTTACACCCTGGTGCAGAAAGGATGCTTCTTGCTGCTGAATATAGGGGTAGCAGCTCTGCCCTCCCCTACACCCCTTTCTGTCCAGTTTTGGGTTTTCAATCAAGGAACCTGCTTATAATGTGGGCTAGAAGGATGTCTGTCCTGTACCTCTTCTTTTTCCTTCAAAATAGAGCAGTTTTAACCATATCCCATATGAGCTTAGAATCACCGTGTTTTCATCACTTTAAATAATTAAATCGAGTCCAACATTTAGAAGCTAGACTTAGAAAATCTGTTGCAGTAGTGTGTATGGAATGGGGACAGTATTCTATTAATAGGAATATGCTGAGCTCAGAGAGACAGCACATAGATAGTCTCACCTACATTTGGAAACTGAATTGCAGGCCCCATTGAAGTAGAGAATAAAATAGTGATTATCAGAGCCTGAGCAGGAGGGGAAGGGGATGGAGGGACCCTGAGTACTGAAGCAAGGGTGCTGTGACAGGAAAAAGTAACTTTAGAGCTTCTGCGGTATTGTAGGGTGGCTGTAGGACAGCCATCAGATATTTTAGAGTAGCTGATGGGGGTTATTTTGAATGGTCCCCAGAAAGTAATGGTAAATGTCTGAGGCTAAAGACTTGCCATTTAAGGTGACCTGGTAATTACACGATTCATAGCCCTATTAAAATTATCCATGATTTGCTGAAATACTCTCTGAATTTTCATGGCTTCTTAGTGTACATTCCATATGCAGTTACAGTGGATAATGCAAAAAATTTTTAAGAAGAAAAGTGGAATTCAGAGGGACTAACTCAGAACTATGTACATACGCAAATTTCTGAGCATTTTATTTGACCATCATGAGTCACGATGGATGTATTTGCTGTACTCTGGTATCACTCTACAGACTTTTACCTGCTTCTATTTAATTTAATTTAACTTAATTTCAGGTGGCCAGGAGATGGGGAAAAAGAAAAAACAAACCCAAGATGAATTATGAGAAACTGAGCCGTGGCCTTCGCTACTATTATGACAAAAATATCATCCACAAGACAGCGGGTAAGCGCTACGTGTACCGCTTCGTCTGTGATCTGCAAAGCCTGCTGGGATACACCCCTGAGGAGCTGCATGCCATGCTGGATGTGAAGCCAGATGCTGATGAGTGATGGACACAGGAAGGACTGGGGCAACCCTGCTAAGACCTTTCAAAAAACAACCATGTTGGCTGGACTCTCAATTTTTAATTGTTATTCTATGTTTTATTTTCGAGAACTCATTTTTCACATTCAGGGGTGGGAGCTAAGGGAGCTGCAGCTGTATTCCATGGGCCATTGGTGAGGCTGGAAAGAGAAAGTCAGGACCTCTGGGGTGGGTGGAGTAAGAACTTTCTAAGCAGACTTTTCAGAAGAGAGATAAAGGTCTTCTGGGAAGCGTGATGGACTTGGCTTTGAGGAGGAAGAAACAAATTAAGAGAAAAGCCCATCATGAGTTATGGATCTAATAGCAGGAGGACTTGTCACATCACGAGTAATGAGATTGATGAGAATCAATCAATTTGGAGGGTGGGATAAAAATTTTCTTCAGGGGATTACTAAAAAGAAGAATTATTAACATTTCTACTTTTTTGAAACAAAGATGGACTTCAATGGAGGGGGTCCCAAACTGTTTTTACGTTAAAGTTTATTTTATTAAATTTTGTGCCAGTATTTTTTTTCTTACAAAATTGTCTTAAGCTCTAAGGTGGTCTCAGTATTGCAGTATTGTGAGTTTGTTCTTATCTGCTGGTTGAGGATTCTGTCACAGTGAAAGGCAACCATTTATATAGACCCCATCGGAAAATCATATCTGTGTGCTGAGATCAGAGACCCCAAACCCACCTGACCTGCAGCTGAAGGAAATGAATGCTGATTTGGGAGCAGGGAACAGTGCATGTGAATTCTACCTGCAGTTTATATAAAATTTTCACATCCCTCTACTTGTCATTTAGAGAACTGTCAGGCTTTGGGCTTAGTGTTACTTAAGGGGCCTTAAGTCTTTGCACTGAATGTATTTTGCAGCTCTGATTTGGGACTGTTGTCAGCATAGGAACACTGTTAGTCTTGGAAAGGAAATTGAGGGAAGAAGATTAACCTGGCTTTTGATTAAATCTCTACCTGAAACATAGATGACTCAGAATAAAAGCTGTTTGCATGGGCATTACCCCTCAGGTCTTAAGTAAGCCCCAAATGCATGCCATCTCAAATGAACACTCTACAATTTCTCCTCTGTCTTATTGTCCCGGCGTCCCACATAGTTGCCCCCTCCCGCCCCAACCTCATTGTTCAGTAGAGTGGAACGTAATGCTTTCTGATAGGTGAGTGGAAGTGTAATTTCAGACACCAGGACATGAATCAAAGAGTACAGACTTGCTAGGCTCAGAGGTCATGTGAATTCAGACAGTGTTTCAGTAGCCTCCTTTGGGAAGGGACAGGAGCTTGTCGGGGAGGACTTGGGTGAGGCTGTATGCAGAGGAAGTGGTAGAGAGCACCAAAACCTGGAGCTTGACCTATTATCTTTGTAGAAGGTGAGTGAAAGTCAACTGCAGATGAGAAGAATGACTTAAAGGAGAAAATGAAGGGGAAGGAGCTGGGTGAGGACAATAAAGTGGTCCATGATATTTTATTATGTTTTTGGCTCCCTCAAAGCTTAGATACAAAGAATTAATTGAGGCAGTCATCTTCCTGCCAGTTGGGAGGGGAGACCTGAAAAGAATGAGTAAAAACAAAGCAGGAAGAGGCCTGATAACATGAGAATCGCTACTGCTGTATACTTACTACTTGCCTGTTTAAGACAATGGTAGTGGATGTCATGAGAGAAAAGAATCAATTGATTGAGGTGGGCATCGCCAGCCAGGCTGGCCCCCTTTGGGATTTCTCTAAGAAAATGAAAATTGTAACTACCTTGTATCATCTTCCTGAGATTTGATGGCTGATTCCCAGATTCCCTCGCAGACCCTGAATCACTGAGAACATAACTCTTGTTCATGGATGTTCTATACTGATTGAGTGGAGCATCCACACAAGGAGGCAAAGGCAAAACACCCCAGCTATATATTTTGATCTTACAGATGCAGGTGCCTTAGTGAAGCTCTCAAAATATTTAGGAGCTGCTCAGGGAGTATTAGGTGGGATAATTCGGATTATGTTGTTTTATATTATGTGATCTTTGTTGGGCACTGGCAGTGTGTGTGTATGTGTGTGTGTGTGTGTGTGAGTGAGTGTGTGAGCGAGCATGTGCACACTTGTGTAAAACTGTAGCTGAAATAATACTGAATTTTTCTACTTAGTCTGTCCACATTTCTATAATGGTGAAAGAGTAAAGCCAGGGCCTATATCATTGCTTGCTGTTTGTAACAGGGCTTTAAACAACCCCTTTCCCAAGTAATCCTCCTCCTATTCAGTTCATGCTGAGATCTCCCCTTCTGTGAGTCTAATACCTGCAGTCCTCAAGGCAGATGGGAGAGATGTGAGAAAGTGCCTACTTGCACTCCTCAGCCCCCTGACTTGCCACGCTGCCCTTTCTCCCCAGGTCCACCGTTTTCAGGATATGTAGATAGTTTATTAGTCAGACAGCTATGTTGTCCATCTGGCCAGATGCTTTTTTCTCCTTTTGTCCAAAGGCCAGAGACCATCCCAGGAAGAGTGGTGGGTGGTTTATACACTGGAAATGTAGCAGCATTGTTGCATTGATGCTCTTTAAAAACACGTTAACTTCAGAGGAAGGATGAACAAATCTGATCTAGCTGTGTGACACTCTTGTTTTCCCACAGAGATGCATTAATCTATGTGTGGCTTTTGTCTCAGACTCCCTGAGTAGGCGGGCTCCCTACATGGAGCTCTGGTTTTGTGGCTGTGGAGGTTGGTGAAAGCATTTCTAGATCAGAGGCGTTCTTCCTCACTTTGGAGACCAACACTCTGGGTTTTAAAGCATTAACCTTCGTGGTGAAATCACACCTTCTCTCTTCCAGTCATGCTGTGCATGCTGCTTTCTCTGTTGGGGTCTATATAAATTTGTTGAACTCTTACGTACATTCCAAAGACGTTTCAAGGAACCACAAATATATGTATACGAATACATATATGAAGTATATGTGTTAAAATGAAATTATCTCTATCAGGAATACTGCCTCAGTTATTGAATTTTTTAAAAAAAAGAATACATTTTTTTTTTAGCTGAGAATTATTGGGGTGAAAAGGATGTTATATTGTGTTTGACTATTTTCCAACTTGTATTTTCATATAATTTATATTTTTTAAATGCTAAAAATTTAAAAGCAAGATTTAAAAAGGAAAGCAGGTGCTTTTTAACAATCAGAACTGAGGTAGCTTAGAGATGTAGCGTGTGAATGTCTATATGTTTTTTTTTTGTTTTTGTTTTTTTTTTTTTTTTAACAAATGCAAAAAAAATCTTATGGGGGAGTTTTTTGTTTGTTTCTTTTAGTAGCTGATGCTGGCACATCATTTTGCTGGAAAGTTTTTTATATACTGTAGCCTGATTTCATATTGTATTTTAAACTGTGTGAAATTAAAGAAACAAAGAAATTCATTCATAATGAGGCGGCTCTGGCTTGATTCTTTCCTGTCTAGATCATGGAAAAATTAGAAGAAATTAATCAACCAGGGGGTGGGGGAGCACAGAAGAAATAGGGTTTAGTTCCTCAGACCCTGCAGCTTGGAATCCTTTTAGATAGAGTAATAAAAGGTTAGAGATATAGGGACACAGTCTTAGCAGCCTAGTGACTACCCTTCATTGTTTATTGCACCCTTTGTGGATGAACCAAAGTTTGTTGAACTTCATCTCTTCATGTCTGAAGGACTAAATACCATGGAAAGAAGAATTGTAATGACTTCATAGGTAGCCATTGGAGTCCAGCTAGATACAGTTCCTGTTACTGATACAGACAGGCAACAGTGCTTTGGTTCTTTCTGATGATAGCTGTGCTCTTTGGCAATTTGGATTTATCATGTCCATGTCTTTGGCCTTAACCCTTCCACTGGGGCTGGGGATTGAGAATGATAATTTCTATTACAACCCCTCCATCCTATGCTATGAGTAGAATATGTACTTCCAAGTGTTTTAGGGGAAGAATGCTTAGGGCTGCATTCTACATGCTGATCCTTCTTGTTGAAACTGTAGAAGGTGGATGTTTTTAATTAACACCAACATTTGCAACATGAATCCAAACTCACAGCTGGGAAGAGAATTTTTGCTGAATTGTTCACAAAGAGAGCTCTGTTTTTGGAAAATCTGTTTCTTTGGCCCTGGAGCTTGAGGTTTGCTGAGCACACGTTAAACATGGACTGTGTGGTCTAGTGGTCAGGGAGCCCAGGTGGCCAGGAGAAAGGCTTTGGTCTTGGGAGCCTGGTGAAGTTGCCACTGCTAATGGATAGATTTTTGAGGGGAGGTGTTGAGGTCCTCAAATTTTGTGCTTTTCAGCTGTAAACCAGGGCAAAGGCACTACTCCCAAGCCAACCTGAAGCCACATCTAAGATCTTCTGTCCCTGAATAAGCAGCTCACAGAGAAGAGATTCCAGCTTCAGGCAAGGCTTCGGGCAAAAAGTGTTCCAAGTTGACTGAGACTATCTGACTACATGCCGGCCACAGTGAATAGCATAAGGTATACATGAATAAAGTCAGCTTAGACTTTACAGCTAGAGAATTCACATTTCCAATGGGGACTTCTCAGGCAGCTGTTCTCTTAATGACACCAGTGAGACTGAACTGAAGCCATTGTAGAGGGAAATGGCATCAAGACAGCAACAAATGTAGGATTGGGAGGGATGGGACCAGGTAACATACAAGAGATGGAGAGAGGAGTCATTTTGAAGAAGGTGGTGCTACACAGACTTGACATGCAGGTGGCAGGATAAGATGTGCCAAGAACTTTGAATCCTACTGTCATGACGGTATAGCAAATTACCAAAACAAAGCTCTGAAATTTTTCCTTCCTCAGAATTGATCAAGTGATACCCGTTAGTCTGTTTTCTGTAGCTATAGAATAACTGAGGAAAGTAGTAGATAAAGGAGTTTTCTTTAGTTCATAGTTTTGTAGAGTGAAGTCCAAGATGAGTGGCCGTATGTATTTGATCTCTGGTGAGGTGGGTGGCATCATGTTGGGAATGTATGGATGGAGAGACCTTACCTAATGACACAGGGAGTCTCAGGGATCCTGGACCAGGCTTATTATTTTTATAAGAGCTCCATGGGAACTAATTTTTTAAGACCAGCATATCTCCATTCTGAGGCCATGCACTCTGGACCTAACAGCTTCCCACCAGAAACCATCTCTCAAAGGTTCCACCACCACACTGGGAATTAAATCTCTAGCCCATGAGTTTTTGTATTACAGATTCAAACTATATCCAAACCGTAGCAAGAGTTTTCCATCATAGTGAAGTGTAACTGTTTTAACCCCAAAAAAAAAAAAAATGCCCGAAAATTGATTGTGACATGTGCTTTGGGCAAAATACAAAACGAGAGATTGTATAAGCTAGTGGTGACACAACAACATCCCATGACTGAGATGGTTCATTTGTCCTTCAAAGTGTGGAACCCACTGGCACAGCCCAAGTGAATGTCCTGGTGTAGGTAGGAGTTCTGCATAGGCACTGAATAAGCTACTTTCTTTGGATGAGTGTGAATCTCCTATTTCATCCCCAGTAGGCCAGCTCCCTGCATCTACATGCTTGCCTATTCCATGTAGAATGAGAGTTTATGGTTCTTCTGTAGATACCTATCCTCAGTGCCTGTTTATTTGGCATGAAGCCTATTTAACTCAAGAAAAATCTAGTGGAAGAGAGTACAAAAGGTCCTCAGGGTCATCAGTGAGCCATCTGACCTCTAAGCCCCTGATCTTTCCATTATGTTCTGTGGTTTCAATAGAACTTGAAAAACTTACTTTGAGGACACAGGGTGATGGCTCACCATCTATGGGAGCCATAGTCCTGGTACTAAGAGGTACACTCCATCCTCTAACCATGGAAGGGGACAAAGTTTCTTTACAGCCAGGATGCTTTTCAACCTTCAGAATGCTCGCTGGCCTCTCCCTTTCTGCAGAGTCCGCCCTGGAGGTGGTTTGTGATGTGGCCTGTTTGTACAGAGTCTCTTCTCTGTTGATTGAGAGGTTCCTTGACTGACCTGGAAACTGGCCCTAGGACCAGTCCTAGCTACTTGGTGCCTGCCCCATTTTGGCTGAGTTTACCACTGGCTGCTTACCACCTAAAGGGATCCCTCCATGTTATAAGAACCTACATGGTCCTAAAAGCAAAGAATAACAGGGGAAAAAGTACTTTCTCGGTGCCTCTTGTAATGAGACAGATACTCCAGCAGTCAAGTTACAGCACTTTTTGGTCAATTGGTGAAAAATCACAAGGCTAAACTGGGAGTCAAACCTGTTAATTGAGAGCTCAGAATTCAGGGTAGGGGATAAAGTGGACTTGGCTTCTGACTTTGGGTCAATGCCATTTCCTGTTTTACTTAATATCCCAGTCCCCTCCTTTGTTTCCATTTTCCTGGCAAACACATCTCTCCTGGGAAAGCCACTCTTTTCAACTGCATCGTGTATCTCTATGTGCTGACGTCCAACGTAATGATAGCAGTGAGCATCTGCCCACAGCGACAAGAGGAAATCTACAATGGCCAGGTCTTGTGACATGCTTCCCAATTCCCAGAGCCTGCAGGGAGCTTACAGACCTGTCTCTAATCTCTCATCACTGTTGTTCAGGTTCTGATGCTCTCAGCCACAGCACTGAACAGAACTTTGATGTTGGGCTGGCTCTAGTCACTCCCTGTGATACGGCAGAGTGAGGCAAGGAAATTTTCAGCAGCCACTTGTGGTAATTACTAAGGTCAAGAGATGGCCAGTGTCTCTTTGGAGTCTCCTGCTTGACACTATCTGCTTGAGCCATTGGATCTGAGCCACAGCAGGTCACTGTAAGCTTTGTGTAGGCAGACGGGGAAACTGCAGCTGACTCTTCAAGCTCTGTTCCCAAGGTGTGTCTGGAAATGACAAGTGAGCAGAGATACTGGAAGTGGTACCAGAATTCACAGGCCTACGACACTGATGGTAATTACTGACTTCCTCTGAGATTACCTTGTTGAGGCAAGACTCCCCCAAATTACGGAGGAAAGATGGCACTAAGGACTTTTTATATGCTTGGGGAATGGTGCAGAATTCCTATGAAATGGTGGCTGGCCTCACAGATCTCTGAGATGGCAAGTTCAACACAGAACTGGGGATGTAGCTCGGTGTCTACCATGCATAAGGTCCTGGCAATGTGAATAAAGGAAGGAAGGAAGGAAGAAAGGAAGGAAGGAAGGAAGGAAGGAAGGAAGGAAGGAAGGGTACAGTACAGTCCAACCCCAAAACTGTTTCTACCAAGGACTGAGTTAAGATCCCATCTCTCCTCCAAGCTGTCATTTAGATCCGTCTGTTTCTAATTTTTCTGACGTGTATGTGAATAGAAGGTTCACAAATACAATACACAATAGACAAATAAATAAAGACAGTCTTTTAATTGGGGACATATAGACATATATTATATATATATATAGTATACTAGTATATATGTATCTTAGATAAGATGATAGACAATGACTTTTCTAATTTTTCTTACTTGCATGGGAATAGAAGGTTCACAACTATAATACACAATACACAAAGACAGTCCTTTAATTGGGGATACATAGACACATCTGTATATATTTTGTGTGTAATATATATACATCTTAGGTAAGATAATAGACAATGACTGGTGTTTGGAATAATATTTATGTAGACATCTACTTTATAATCAAGTTTTCAAGACAGTGACAAATATCTCTGTCCTGATGCTCAAGAAATTTAAACTAGGTTGATGGGAGATGTCATTCGGTAAATATGTTTCTCATACTGGTTAATGAATAAAACACTGTTGGCCAATAGAAAAGCAAGAAAGGCGGGACTAGAAGACAAGGAGGATTCAAGGAAGTAATAAGGAGGAGTCAGCATGGAGAGACTGGGGAGACCAGATGCTGGTCCCATTCTCTGGTAAGATGAAACCACGTGGAAATACTTAGATTAACAGAAATGGGTTAATACTTAAGACAGAGCTAGCCAATAAGAAACTAGTACCTGGCCAACAGCATTATATCAAATACAGAGTCTCGGTGTGTTATTTGGGGCTGGAGCCACAGTAGGACCAGACCTGCGGCAAGGGAAAAAACTACTCCTTACAGTAGGTTTGTTTGCTTGAATGCTTTATTTTGTTTTGTTTTTTAATCATAGAGCACCAGAGAACTCAAGTGTGCCACCTGCATGTTGGTGGTGGCACATGCTCGTTGCTGTAGGAGCCAGTGTGTAGCCTCTTTGAAATCCTGCATCAGAACTCT